TATCGTGTAGTTGGTCTATCTCAAGTTGTGAGAGCAGCTTCCTCTTAACTATGTTGAAGTCTTGGGTAACTAGCTAGGATTGCTAATACTATCAAATTACAATACTCAAATATCTCTACAAAAATTCTTCATATAAATACTAAAACTATAGGTTAAAGGAGGGCCTCTGAAGGCCACAGAAAAAGACATAAAAACAGGTAAAGATTTAAATAAAATAAATAAAATAAAATAAAGGAGGAATTTTCAGTAAGTTTACCCATAAATTATCTGTTTGCAAATTTTTAATTGCTGCCAGATACAATCTAGCTATGTGGTATGTAATAAAGGGTTCCTTATTTGAGAGGAGAAAATCATGAAGAAAACTTTCAATACAACCTATAACACGCTTCAATAAAGGAAGAATGAAAGTTTCTCAACTGCATTGGTAATAGGGGCAGTGTAAAAGCACATGTGTGGTGGCCTCAGTAGTGTTTGTGCTACCTGGACAAATACACATGTTCTCATGCACATGGGGACTCTGGTATATCTCCCATTAAGAAATGTGGAAAGTAAAACATCGAGCCTACTTCTGAGAAAGGCTCTTTGCTGTGCAGGGGAGGCTAAGGTAATTAAGTATTTGCCCAGTTTCCATGTGGAATAAGTTGTGTGAGTTCTAACATGGGCTGGATGGAATATGGCTGACCCCATTTTGAAATTCTAGATCTAGGACCCTTTCTTTAATAATTCTTTTGGCACAAGTACATTCCAAAAGGAGCAGTTGCTCAAGTGGCAAGCCATAATGGGCAAGTTTCCTCAAAACTGCCTTGTTGCCATGAAGACTGAAATTAGTCTGTCAGGAGTAACGGACTCTGTCCTGATGGAGAAAAGTGGCATTTGAGCCAATAGAAGAATATTAACAGCCATGTTCTCACCTCCAGTTTTTGTTGCTAGGTAATATAGTATTTTAAAAACACACACAATCAACTGTGTTGGGTGGTATTGCAGGCTTTTTCATTTATATCAGCCTTCAGACTTTGAGATGTGTTGAACTCTATCTACACAACCAACCATGCTGGTTGGGGAAAAAGGGAATTGTAGTCCAACACATCTAGAATGTCTGTTTTGTGGAAAAACTAATTTATACCAATTAAGACAAAATCCAGTGTGACTTAACTTCTTACAGGTATGCCAATGAGGCATCAAAGTTGAAGGAAATGTTTATGTTCAATTCCATTTTTTAAAATACAAGTAGATCATCATTAAATATCTTCTATATGAAATTTAGCTAGCTCTTTTCTTTTAGCATTACTTTAGTGATGCTTATTACTTGTTTTAGTTGCTATAAATTTATATCAGATAGATTTTTGCACATCAGCATAATACTGTATGGAGGTTTTAGCTATAAGACTGCAAACATAGCTAAACCTGCCCATGAATATTTCTTGCTAGTTTAAACTATATCTATGCACTCAAGATTCATTTTGTTGCTTTAAACTGAAGAAGTGCATTTGAAAATGTTTGACTAAAAAAACCACTCCCCAATATATGCAATTTTGGTGGTATGCTGTGAGCATATTATAGCTAGCATTTACATCAGAAATATTGTAGCATTTGCATGTATAACTCTGCTTTAAACACATAAACTGGATTATTGCAATATGTTTTATTGAAGAGTCTTTAGCAGGTTTAATAGAACAAAATGCAACCATCAAATTTATATTTGGAATAGGTTTTATGAAAAATCTGAGTGCTGTTCATCTGTATATTTATTATCAATGGAAGCCCTGAGTACAAATTAAAATTACTTCTGGCAGCTGCAATTTTATTTTTATGGATCTATGGAACTCATTGCCTTAGGTCAGATGTTATGAGTTCAAAAATTATTGGAGGATGATGTTAATCATATGCTATATCAATCTGTTTACATCAAAAAAGATAACCCTTCTTGCTCCTAAATATCTAAATGCCAAAGCTGTGCTACTTATATTTTAAATCACGCTACTTTCTTTATTGTGTTTCTTTTCTAATAAAAAGAATAATTACAATCAACAATCAGATTAAATATGGTATTCAATTGATTTATTATGGTAGTTCTCACTGTTTTGCAAAAATTACAGTCATTTCCCATATTTCTTTTAACACTGTGGTGATTTTACTCTCAGTTAAAATAAATTATATAACAGCTGAATTCATATGCAAATACTTGTTTAAGTGGGCTTTATCCTATTTGTGTTTACAGGAGCAAACTTTAGCTTTGAGGAAAGAAGGAATTGGAGTTGTGTTAGATTCTGAGCTGCCTCACTTAATAGGCATTGATGATGATCTTCTGAGCACAGGTATCATCTTATATCATTTGAAGGTAATTCAATATTTATCTGCTTTCTGGTTTCTAAATGGACAGTTTTATTTTAGTACTAATTTACTGTCTGAATAAGCTAAACATCCATTTCTTCTCTGCAAAATGGGATGTCAATTATTGGATATTCTAATTTGTTTAATATGATTATATCAGTCATCTACTGCCTATATCTGCCCTGAGGATTAGTGATAGATGAATAATTGCATTTGTTCTTCATTCATTTTACTCTGACCATGACTTCTTGATGTTTCGGAACATTCAGTTTGCTTTTGCTTAATAAGTACAGAACTAGAAGGAAATAATAATTTCTAACAATATTAGAAATCATAGCTGTTTTAAAATGCATTTCTTTTAAGTATTAAGTAAATTAAATAATAAGTATTACTGTCATGGGAAGCATGAGACAAGTAATATATCACTAACCAGTAAGACCTCCAGTTCCAGGCAAATGTATCTCAAGCTTGTACAAGAAGAGAGACAAGATGAGTCAGTCTGTTTTGTGAAGTTAGTAACCTGAAATTCAAGAAGCAAAAGTGTTGTTTTTGAATCCAAAATCCACAATAAGCTAAATTCAATAATTTAGATTCAATAAATTTTTGAATCTAAGAATTGAGAGCCGCCTCCTTCCCACTTATAGAGCTATAGCAAGTAAAGAGAAATTAAAAGCACAAGAGAATTATTGCTGTAATTTTCTGTTGTAGTTTGAGTAAAGCAATTTTGCATATGCATTAATGACCTTTCAACATAGTGAAATACAGGTAATCCTTTTTTATAGTAATTTTATTAAAATTATAATTACATTGATAAAAAACTAATACAAACTAAAAATAATAAAAAGAAAAAATAGAAGGTGCAAAAAAGAATAAAATAGAAAAAAAAGAATATAATAACGAAAAAGAAAAGAAATATATAAAGAAATGATTCTCCCGTCATCACAAGTATAAACAATTTTAGTAACTTATTATCTTCTTTTAAAATACAGCAAATGAAGCTGTATTTTATATATAGCAATTTCGTATCTATAAACAAATCCATAAAACCTCATCATTTCAGTCCTGATCAGCAAAAGTCCATTAAGGGTTACCAGAGATAACAACATACCTATTTTAACCTTGTTCAAGTAAACCAAGTTTATATTCCTTC